TCTTACTGTTGTACAAGACATTTCCGGTCTTACCGTTGTACAAGATATTGCCGGTCTTACTATTGTACAAGACATTTCCGGTCTTACCGTTGGAAAGGCATTTCCGGTCTTACCGATGGACAAGACATTTCCAGTCTTAATGTTGTACAAGACATTTCCGGTATTAACGTTGTACAAGACTTTTCCGGTCTAACCATTGTACAAGATATTTCCGGCCTTACTATACAAGGTATTTCCGGTCTTACTTTTGTACAAGACATGTCTGGTCTAACTGTTGTACAAGATTTCCGGTCTTACTGTTGTACAAGACATTTCCGGTCTTAACGTTGTACAAGACATCTCTGGTCTTATCGTTGTACAAGACGTTTCCGGTCTGACCATTGTACAAGACATTTCCGGCCTTACTATACAAGGTATTTCCGGTCTTACTGTTGTAAAAGACATGTCTGGTCTAAGTGTTGTACAAAATTTCCGGTCTTACTGTTGTACAAGACATTTCTGGTCTTACTGTTGTACAAGACCTTTCCGGTCTTAATGTTGTACAAGACCATTCCGGTCTTACCGTGGTTATGGAAGTTCCTCTTAATCATAATGTTAGATCCCATTATATTAAAAAAATGTAAACAGTACGTAGATCTATGACATGTGATGTTCTAGTCAATCTGTTCATACTTTAAAGGACCTTTGATAGGCAAAACATACCAAAAAGCGAGGAAATTTATCTTTGAGGTCATTTAGGTACCAGCACTGCCAGAAAACAGAATAAATTTATCGATCTAAATAGAAATCCAGTTCCTTTTCATTGCAGATAAATATGTTTCTGCGCGACTTCTTTTGGAATATTTGTTTATATTTGTGAACCGCTTTTTTAGATTGTTCGCTGTTCACAAATTCTCTTAAGTGGATACTATTTTAGTAGAAAGGAGTTGAAGAAGACTGATTGATGATGACATAAATCTGCGTTTTCAGTTGTAGATACATGTCTATGTATTCTAGAAATCTATGTTTGATTTTACATGCTGTGAGATGGGGCATTTGTAAAGTTGTTTATTTTTATAATTTCAAACTGTATACTATGTATTCTTGAAATCTATGTTTGATTTTACATGCTGTGAGATGGGGCATTTGTAAAGTTGTTTATTTTGATAATTTCAAACTGTATACTATGGCAATATATTTTATTCGTGTTCATAACTCAATAAGATATTCACGTTGGACACATTAAATGTTTCTTTCCTTTACAAAATTCTTTCAATCTTGTGTATCCTAGTCTCTTGCATATCAATACAAATAGTAAAAAAATAAGATTAAGACTTGTTCTGTTATGAAGTAATAGATGGCCATACACGTAACGTTACATCCACACAATACAGTCTCAGATACAAAAGGGAAACTTAAAATATCGACAATGGATTGTGTTGCCATAAGTACGTGTACACAATGCCAAATACACCGTCCTAACAATATTCCTGGCAAGTGTTCCAACGCGACATTGATAGTGTGTCCACGGAAACAGTTTCTTTGGCACGGGTATTAAACAAGGCCACTTTGCTACACGTCGATCCTGTTTACATAGATACAAACAGGTTTACGGTCGTTCAAAATAACAATGTTGTCTGGTTTGCTGGAAGATTTATCTCCGGTCGGCCGCGTTCAATCCTGCTGGTGGACGTGATGCGCAGCTTGTTTGTCACAAGACGGTCGCCAGCTTCAAGTCCCCGTCCATATCTACTTAAACGGCAATCTGTGGGAGTGTACTATACAATAGGTACAGACGCTTACAGATTAAACAGGCTTCGCTTTCATCATGATTATATGATAATCTAGATTGTTAATACATTTTTTGTACATTGGTCTGTTCCGATTCCAGGACAATATTGTAACAAACTGTCGATATTTCTCTTTTTCATCAAGCTTAAAATGAACTTAAAACGGGTCTCCACCACCATATGGACGAGAGTACTATAGATTTATAATTAATATAAATTTGTAGAATTGTCATTTAATAGGTTAGATGATGAGCTGATGTGGCCCTGAATTGGTGAAATCTAGGAGGCAACAGAGGAAAATTAAATGGTCGAAATAAATGTTTTTAAAAAACTAGATCGTTACTGTAGAATAGTGTATGATATTTTCTTAAGTCAAATTATACATCTTAACACAAACCAATAAACTCGTCCTTGATAAATCAATTCCTTTATGTGGTGTACTTGGTCCTGTCTACATATCGGGAGATATTATCAGGATGTCGTGAGGGAGTACATATTGACGTTGACAGCATTATTTGATTTCTAGTTACATGTAACAAATGTATTGAATTAATTGGCAAGGTTGCATGAGCAACTTTTGGCATATCCTTAATAACGATATTTTACTCGCGTCGGTCAGAATTCTTTTTGTTTTGTCATCACACAGAATTCATTGAACAAATTAGGTAACGAAGACATTGAAAAGAGACAATGTTATTTCAAAGGTTATTAAAGATGGATTTCTTGAAAAACATTGATTATCTTTTTAAATATTGACACGATATACTTCCTTGTCAGCCGCTTAAGCCGACCTTTTACTACCGTCTATTAAACATTGACAGCTAACGAAAATGTTATAAACGTAATGGTCTCATGTTTCTCGTAAAAAATATTTTTCTCGATAGTTACATTTCTTTTTCCGTATTCTGCCTTACATGTTTCGTCAGAAGATTTACCCTTACAGAACACCTTATCTTATACCTCCCTCGGTTTAACTTTGTGTTCTAGTGAGTGCTATCTTAGTGTACTCAATACTTACAAACGGTTAGTTGAGACACCGAAGTTTTAAGCAACACGGACTTTAACACAGCATTTTGATTGGATACGTTGACATCGACATATAAAATAAAATAATGAAAAACGGCATATTATTTGCATTCTATATTATCACATGGATTTAACCCGAGAAATGTAACGTCGAAATTAATGCTTTTATTTTAAACAATATTTCCTTTCTCAATATCCTGAAATCACAATTGTTTGTTCATTGATACCCGGCATAGTGTTAAACAAATATTACAGAAATCGTCTTCGATCGAATGGACAAAGCAGTGCATCTTTGTAAAATTCTTTCCCAACTCACAGGTTTTTCACTGGAACCATTTCCTAGTACATCATTGCTGCTCAGCTCACGATCGTGTGACAACCTACTGTAAACAGACGTTTTCATTCCTGCTACCAAGTGTTTGACATCTAAAATTGCAAATTGAAACAAATCACTCTGGTGCAAGCACTTTATGTTTCATTGACTTGGGCGAGTGCATGTTTCCCAAATAGGCACCTAAACTGGAGTGATGTAAATATAGAATAGAACGAACTTTTGTAAATCTTTCGAGTTAATCACTGAGCATTAAAGAGCAAACCCCTAGCTATACGTATGTGAGGGATTTAAACTTATATTTTCCAACTGTTCCGCGGAAACAAAATTTGTAGCCATCTATACAATGTATTAGTATTCAACTTTCGTTTCCTATCTAAACCAATCCATTTAAAACAAAAACAACTCCGGAATGTTATATCTAAACAACGATTTGTTAAAAGTAATTAAAATTAATTTAATGTTTAAACATTATCTATCAGACCTGTCTTTTGCTAGTTTTATGTCGTCAATTTTATCGTTTTGGCTCATCTCATCCTTTCCCTTCTACCTCACTTTTGTAGAGGTCACCCCGTACAGTTTTAAGGAATGGGTCCATCAATGTTATGGAAATCCAAGGTACATTCATTTATAATAATGTGCAATATGTAGACTTAAAGCAGTGATTTTCAGTAAACTGTGGGGTTATCATAGGGCGTCTACAACATAGTCTGTATCCATTATATAGTTAGCTGTAACTTGTTTACAGTACAATGACCGAGGAGTTTTGTTTGCTCGAATTTAGTGGCATAACACATCAATCTTGACCGCGCTATCTGATTACACGGGCACCAGTATCTTGTGAACGTGCAACAAAGGACCACCTACAAGTACTTATTCTCTTAATCACAGTGTAACTTAATTTAGTGTACAGTAACAAATATATGTAGTAAGTTTAAAGAGTTGTACATGTATGTTAGTGTTTTGAAATAAAAACAGATGCATCTAAGTGGAAACCAAATGGAAAGACCAAGTAGATATGTTTCAGCGCATTAACATGAGTATTTGTCGTTATAGAAGTCAATTTTCTATGTTCTGAGACAGAAATCATCTGAAGCTAGCTTATCTCGACCTTTAAACATCATCGTCGAAGACGGTACACCAACAGGCTTTAAGATAAGCATGATTATTTCAATTTGAAGATGTTAAATGTCCTAAAAAGTAGTATCCCTGCTTCATTCTTCGATATCAAAGATGTGTGGTCGCTATTAGGAATTCATTTGAAATAGTTGTCGAAGAAGAAATGCGCTATGTTTCGAGTTCTGCTTCCTGATAAACAATGTGGGAAATTTAAATATTTCTGTCTTACTTCCGTAATATGAATATTTTCCTATTCTAAATGTGCCATAGCTTCGTTGACATGGGTAATACGATACAAGTGTCGTCAATAGATATAATTATTATTGCACAACCTTTATGGTAAATAATTGAAGCACATATTATAAGATATATTAAATTGTTAATTAACGTGTGATATTGCATGTATGACAAGTTGTGCATCAAGGGACCATGGTATGTACAAGTTGCATAAATATACATAATAAATAACACGTGATTGTCAGTTTTCTAACCCACACACATGCACAAGACAATCTAAATTGAGTTTCAGTATTTTATGGAAGCGGGTTGTTGTTTTGCACAGCAAGCCAAGAGGGAAAATATAGAGTACAGAACGATAAATTGTCATTTGAGAGAATCAAGTCGGATAACGAAAGTGCGGATGTGTGGCGTTCCAGACATTTTATCATTGGAATTATTGACACTGCCAGTCTCTGCTAATGTATAATCATTATCGCCATGACGCTCAATGAAAAAACATGTTTTGTCTTCCTCAGCACTCGCAGAGCAAGTTCCTGGCAAACTTCTTCAGAAGGAGCCCAGCGTCCGACATGTCGGCGAAGATCACCACTAGTGAGCTGGTTGTACCCCGTGCCTTCGTAACCCACGGTACCAATGGGTTCAGTTACCAGTCTAAGACTGTTTCCAAAATATAGGTGTCATGAATACAAGGGCTCACTACACTGTGGTTAGTCCCCGACAGTATAAACTTATGTTCATAAGATCAATGTTATACCCTCTACTTACACGTGTGATGTGCCCTTTGACTTATTGGAAACCGAAGTGACAAGGAGAACATGCGAGCCTACATGTACTTATTTACCTGATATACTCACAAGTGATTAAAACTCATCTCCCGTTATTGTTACTGGGTGTTTGAATTTCGTTTATAACAACTCACTTTGTTTTCCTGACTCTGTCAAACATAGACTATGAAGTACCTGCTGCAAGAAAATTACGAAATTCACTTAGAAATGGAGTTAGTCCACGTACCCATCTAGATTTTGATTTTTTTGTCGGTCACATCGGATTTTCCTCAGTCGCTAGCCTTCAGAGTTCACTGACAAGTCCAAGAAGGACCAAACAGCTCTGAGCTACAGTACAATTGATTGTTTGACCTTACTGTATCTAACTGTAAATTTGTATTAGATGGTGCCTTTCACTTGTGTGTCTTTTGAACAATCATAGAGAACTGGAACACTGACCATACATTGTTGTTGATAGTTTAATCTTAAACACGTGATTTCAAATCATCGAAAAACTTAAACATTTTGCCATAAAAAGCGACATTATTGTACTCAAGATCATTGTCTCTACTTTTGACACGTCCGTGCAACAGCCATGGGCATATGACAACAGTTTACTGTTTCTGGCATTAGACCATTTTTGTGATTTCATTACATTGAAATGTCAGAACCTGGAAATATCAGCATAGCACCTTACCCTGTCACTTGATGCTGACGAAAGGTTAATTAGTGCATTCCATTTGATGCTGAGTGACAAGCAGGCAACGAAAAGTATTATTTTAATGGTATGTCACGGCATATAATCCGAGTTCGTAGTCTTCCTCACTTTGGCGGACGACTAACCGATAGACAAAGAGTGATGCATTGTCAAGAGAGAACGCGAGAAAATATGCCAATCGCATACTAACCTCATGCTATGGGGCTTAGATTATTAGCATCGGTTATATAGATATTCAACGTCCTCATCGAGAAAATATTCAAATGAGTAAAAATGGGCAAAATGATTCTTTCTGCAGTGTACATACTTTATCGTCAGTGGGTCATTAAGCCCGAGAAAAACCATGTGTATATTTGAAATTAAAACAAATTGGTTCTTTTAAACTTCAAGAGTGCCTAACGTGTACATACTAAATGGATGTGTCAATATTTTCATATATATATATATATTCCTTCAGATATTGTAATTTGCGATTGCTTGCTCCCTCTACTCTATGTTGTACACATAATTTTCAGAAGAAGAAATAAAAGCCGTTTTGAAACTCGGTTTTCTATCAGGTAGTTAACAATATTGGTACCTATGTATTCTTGTTTCTTTACTGTTAAATAATCAGTATTCAGCTTCAACAAATTCTGGCCTGGTTTTTCTCATTGTTTATAAATACAGGTATTATTATGAAATACAGAAGACGTCCTGTTATTCGTTAACCACTTTTGCCATCTTCAGAAGAGCAACTTTGAATTCAATGGAACCAGCTGAATTTTGTTTATTTATTTTATTTTAGTGGCTTGTATTTATTTGTAGACTTTTACCAGAACCTGAAATTATTTACTTTTAAATACCTCAATTTAAATGGCGGTTGTTGTCAGTGAAGCAGAAGATGCTTCCTCTTCCGGAACATTTTTAAGAGTCTCCGTGTGAATCTTTCTTTTCTTCATATTTTGGTCTAATTTTATTGAATTTGAGTTCGGATTTTTTTTTATGTTGAACTGTTGATATTTTCTAGTTTTTGTTTTTCAAATACAGTATCCGCCATAAACAATAATTTGTCGATATTGTAAATTGTGAACAATAAAAATATACAATCGAAGTAATAATTTTTGTCTTGTTCAGCAGTTTTTTACTGAAGGAGCTCTTTGTCAATTAAGTCCTGCTTGATGCTATGAATCAATAGTTTCCCTTTATACATTTAAGCCTCATTTCATGGGATATCATAAATAGTCCTAATAGTTCTATACTCGCAAACTCTAAACGGATGTAACATTGCTTTTGTAGGGTTTTTTTTAAAATATTTTCAATATCTATAATTTTCGTGTAGTCTTTATGATCAATTATTTCATTTTCAGCTGTAAATGATTTTTGGAATTGTTCATACTAAATGCCGATTTTAGATTTAGTGAACTTAAATCTCTGATGATCTGTATACCATTATTCATGTGGCATGTCTTCATATTCATATCATTAAATATAAACAACGTTTTATTTTAGCTTTTGTCAATTGTATTTTCGACGCGCCATTTTTAGGTATGAGCACGTTTATTGTTTACTAGTAATACACGTGCAAGCGCTGTTTTCGTTAAGTTGAGTGTTTCGCCAGGCAACATACGCCATCAAATTCAAAAGAAGACACCGCAAGGAATATTACAATGTTTATTTTTACAAAAAGAAAAATAAGTTTTTATTAAAATTGTCATATTGAAAAGGGTGGTCCTTACCTTATGACCGAGTGAAATTATGCAATTTTGCAAGTATCTTTCATGAACAGCGATTGGTTTCTTTATATAACGAGGAACTATACCAATGTAGGCGTATTATGAAAGACGCCTAAAAGACGGATGTACGGGACATTTGGGTCATATAGCAGGTGCGTGAGGTATCTAATTACCGCACCAATCACCGACACGAACAGCACTAATCATGGACAGGAAGAGTTAGGGCTCATCAATGATCAATAATCAAGAAATAAATCACATGGTAACTGGTTGGACACCCAACGCGCACTTGGACAATGACACATTTTTACATTAATTATTAAAATCGGAAACTCGAACTCTTCAAATGAAGCCTTGCATCGAGCATATTAATGAATCTCTCATAATTACAAAAAAAAAAAAAAAAAGGCAAATGGTAGGACAAGGTCTGTGTTTTGTATTATATTTGTATTTTCTGTCTTTATCAGAACTTTGAAACCAACAAATAAAAACCGCAATATCAGCACATTTTATGTAAATATTTCACATTTTCCTTGTAACAATCAATATATGATGTAGGTATTAGCAATGACGCCATCTGTTTTAGGTAAAATGTTTCACGTCTTCCTTCTCACAATCAATTCTATGTAGGTGGTGTGAAGACAAAGGTTGAGTTTCAAAATAATAAGTAACATTCAGATTAACTGGACCAACATCTGTATTTATTGTTTCAGATTTAAACCTAAATTTCAATGTTCTTCGTGAGATCATCACTAATAAACAGTAAATTACAACAGTGCGACATCAAATAAGCATATCATTAGCTCTGTTATGACACGTAATAGGACTACGCTCGTATGAGTGGTCGGATGGCGTAGTGGTAACGAACTCGTCTTTCACCAAGTCTAGCGGAGTTCGATTCCCAAAACGGAGATGAATTGGAAGAGGGTCTCCAGTTAACTTCCACAGTAAGACCGTCCTCCCTCCTAAATAAATAAAGTTTATATATATACTTCGTTCATATGAACAGATCAGTGGCCAATGCTCAGATGAATCGAGAGAACCTTTTCGTTATTGGAATAATACTTTTGCCAAGGGTTACTAAAATGTCCTTGTTAAGGTTCTCCGGTAATACTGAACTTTAGCTTTCAGTTTATGGCGCAACCAATCGTAAAACATTTTTTGCCATCGCTAGGACAAAAAGTCGCGTGTTTCTCTGAAATTGAAGCATCATTCTTTGGACCGTAAGCCAACATGTTGATCGTAGCACAGGCCAGGTACTTAAACTCAGACAAGAAAGGCATTAGCTGATGATGAAGCAAAGGAAGCTAGACTCAAGTGTGTACTTAACTTGTTCCATCTAAATTCCAGTCGAAATCTTGTGTATGTAATTACACATACCGTAGCACATATTAAGTTCTAATTACATCGTGTGATATAACGTTTTTACAGACTAATTTCTGCAGCCCTAGGTTTTGCATTTTGTTCTAAATGATTGACGTCAACATTTCCATGTTTCAGTTCATTTAGGCAGTGTTCCATTAAATAGGAGGTAATCTAAAGCAGTCTTGTCAGCGGAGGTTCACCACAGCACTTACATGTTTCTGTTTTACTATTTCAATAGTTCAGCATGTGTCAACATCAACTCCTTATATACTTAGGATCATTGTTTACACGTCGTTCACGAAACTCGTCAAACGCGATTTATAACGAAAGCGAATTATGGCTGATTTCTAAAAAGGGCGATAATCGTATGATTACTAAAATGTGGTAACTCATACACTCATGAGTTTTGGCTGTTTGTATATTGTTTAGCGTTCCGCCACCAGCTATGTTCCCTTCAGGACAGTACCAACGGGGTAAACGCATGTGTAGAAGCTCATTTTCTTTTAGAAAACTACGATATATTCGTGTAACTTTTCTTGGGATAATGCGGAACCGAAGCCGAGTACAAGCTATGCAGGTTTATATGAAAATGAAATCAACGTGGTTACTACGCGGAGTGTAGACTATGTAACGCATGCGGTAACTTAAAGGAGTGCATTTTTTGTCTCTTTGAGGATTGCAATCTATGCTGTGACTCACTAATGCAAGATATATGTACCTATTTGGAAGTTATTAAGGAGAGTGTAAAATATGTACATGTTCTATATTAGGAAGTGTTTAAAAAAGTATTTACTGAACAACCAAATTTTGATATCGATTCAGACTTACACGTATGATGTCAGGTGTAAAACAATACTGGTACTTTGCCTAATAAATAATACTTTTAATACATATCTATATGACAGCGAATTGCACAGTAACATTTTTACGCTTGCAGTTTCATTTATTAAGTATGAAGTATTTCGTTAATCAAACTACATTATTTAAAAATCCAACATTTTCAAAGCATACATGAAAGGACTTTAAAATCTGCGATTTGTTTGGTAAACTAGCAATGAAAATTAAGGTGCCGTTGTGGTAACGCATAACGCACAAACAACTGCATGCACACACAT